TTTTTTTTTTTTTTTTTAAGAAGTCCAAAGGGCCAATTTTCCCCCAAAAAGACTATTAATTTCGTTTTGCCATTTTGCGTCGATTCATGATGAGCGTTGTTTCTTTCACTTTTCAACTTGTTGCCACCGAATGTTACCGCCCTGTATTATATTTAAAGAAATTAAATAATGAAGAATCTGCATGTTTCTCGCACTGTGATAAAACAATGGGACCTAGAACCATCAAAATTTGAATAACGTAATCTTCCATAGAATATGGGCATTTGGAAGCCCTAATTTGAATTTGAAATTTGTTTTATTATCGATTTCATATTTTGCTTCAACGAATTTTTGATTAACAAACTCAACGATTTCAAAGTGAGCAATGACAACACTGTATGAGATGGGGGACTAGCGCCCCTCCCTCTCTCGTACAGCGCGTAAGACATGTATATTGGAAATTCTAGATATGCCCATTTTGAAATTATTTTGCGACATTGTTCTTGAACTGAATTTTATGGTTTGAGTACGTAGAACGTGATATTTAATAAATAAAAGTAACACACAAAACGTTAAAAAAACGCCCCCTTTGGACGTAATTTAAAATCCGAAACTTTTCAGATTTTTTTGTTATTTATTTTTAATTTCTGTAACTAATATTCACATATCATATTGTGTAAAGAGCAGTGTTAACTAGCAAGGGAATAGGATATTTTATTTTTATTATTTTTTTATTACGAAACAGAAAGCAGTCTCTTACTGATGAAACAATGTTTGCCATGTGCATCATTATCTACAAAATTGGATTGAACTGCTCATCTCAGCGCTTTTTTTTTTCAAAGCCGTTTTAAGAATATATACTACATATACAGCTTTGATGACTGTGCTACTAGGAGACAAGATTTTAGCTACAGTTGACATAGTTTCCAAAAATCTTGTGGCTATTTCATCAATGTTACAAACGGGAGACGAAAATTTTATGAAAAACAGAAAAGAAAGTTTAATCAGGAAACCTAGTTGTATCCAGGGGCGTACCTAGAGGGGGCATCTGTCCCCGGGCGCAAAATCCAAGGGGCGCCAAACTGATGTTACGACATTTTAGAATTAAATGTTTTCCATCCTTGGCAAGCATTAGGAGGCGCGAAATCTTCAGTTGTCCCTGGGCGCTGAAAACCCTAGCTACGACTGTGGTTATATGTGATATAAATACTATTTTATTGACCTTGATGTTCGCTTTTTTTTTTTTTTTTTTTTTTAGCAAGACCAAAACAATACTGTTGCGTGAATACGGGTTCGTAATGGATTGAATGCACAAGTCGATAAAAAGTTAATAAAATTTTTTCTTATCCCAAGAAAAACAAAAAAAAAAAGAAAAGAAAAGAAAGAAAAAGAAAGAAAGAAATGCTGAAATTTCCTCAGAGATATTGGTACAATATCGGAATATCTCACAGTAGTTATGTTTTAAACTAATAAAACAATATATAATAGTTCAATAGAACTCAATTCAAAACACAGAGAAAGCGAATCCGATCTCACCGCGAATTGGTTATAATCAATAACAGCGCTAAGTAAACAACTGAAGTGAGATGTTTTAATACGGCTTTTATAAGCTTTTTAATCATGCACGAGAACATTCTGGTTTTTTCCTCGAATTTCTGGATAGCAAAAGATTACATTTACGAGATATCAATTTATTAAAATGTTGAATGCACGTGCCCCAGTATTTCAATTTTTCCGGGGTAGCTTTCTCTTAAAATAAGTCTCGTGCTGTATTGCACGAGAATATAAAACAATTTTAATTACAAATTCTACTAAAAATAGCTAAAATCTAAAAACTGTAACACTGCCCCCTTCCCAAGGACTGCACGTCCCGATCAGTACAATCCCTGAATACGAAGCCAAACTTACAACTAAGGCATAAATGCAATAATAACCATTTCGTTACAATAACCACATAAACAATAATTGCAATAAGTAACTTTAAATAAATCAAATGCTAGCAAATACTAAATACAAATTAAATCAAATGCACATTTAAAAACAAAAAGAGCTATAGTCTTATACTATTTACAATTATATACACTACGTACTATGGCCATAATAAGGAGCTAACCTTTCGTAATGAATGACTTTGGACTTAGAGTTCGATGACTTACGGATAGGAACCACAACGTTGTTCAGCCTGTTTAGGACTGTATACGAACCATCCCAAGGTGACTGCAGTTTCGGACAGATTCCTTTCTATCGAATCGTATTCCATAACCACACCTTGTCTCCTTCGTTGAATCGATGTTCAGTAGCTCTCGTGTCATATCGGGTCTTCATCTTCTCCGTCGTCAAGCTGACTCGCTCTTGCATTACTTGAAACCGGGCCGGAGATCTTGGACGAATTCTTCAGGCGATGAAGGTGCATCCGGAGGGCGACCAAACAAAAGATCACAAGGCAGACGAAGGTCACGACCGAAGAGCATCTGAGATGGAGAATAGCCAGTAGTCTATCGTTTCTCTTCGACCGTAATATGATTTCAGCAGCTTTCTGAGCAGGGTCTTTCAGACAAGACGTCGGCGTTTCCAGGTGAGGATCCCTTCTGATGATGTTCTCTAATGCTGTAGTTTGTTGTTTTTGAAGTCCAAGGAAAAATTGTATTTCCTGAAAAAACCCAGTCCGAGTATATAATCTCTGCTACATATGCCGTGTAATGGTAGGCGGCACTTTGAAACCTTATGTTCACGTTTAACTTCCCATCTATGGCGATTTTATCACCAGACTCAGTCTGGAGGGTAACACAGGATGGCGTTCAATTGAGTTTATCATTAAACTGATGAGCTAAATCTTTGCGAATGATGGTACCTTTAGCTCTTGTGTCGATGATCATATTGCAAGGAAGTCCCTCGATATGTCCATTGATGAATCGATTGGTTGATATGCCCATTGATGCTCCGTCGATATGTCCATTGTATGTGGCCTTCACCACGACATCTCCAACACCTTAGAACGAGTCCGTTCTCCTACTCTGTATCAAAGCGTCGACTTGTCTGGATAAATCATCTATACGAACCATCAATTGATCCACTGGCTCGTGGACTCGCACAACTCTGACTAGGTAGCGATCTCTACGAGTTGCTTGCTAGGCTGCCTCGAATTTCACGGCGTACAACAGAGCGCTTTTCATGTCCTTCACATCCGCCATTCGCAGTGCTTTCTGTATTTCAGGATCCCGGATGCCGTCGATGAATATTGCAGGGACAGGATTTCCCTTGCTTCTGTCGGGCACTCCGAAAAGGCGAAATGGGACAGGCTTTTAACATCCGTGGTGAGCTCCTGAAGTGTTTCCGCTGGCTTCTGTTGATGGGATTTTAATCGAAGCTTACTGTAGGCTTTCAAACATTTCTCCCCAATGCGCAGTTCCAACGATTCGGACAGAAGTCTAATCTTAGGTTTTTCTGGAAAAGTTTGAAAAATATTCGCAGTGTCTGCTCTCAGAGAAGCGGCAAGATGACAGGCCTTAGCTTGGGAATCCCATCCATTCGCTTCCGCCAGTATAGAAAATTGCGTCTTATACACTTGCCAAGAGGACTTTCCCATGATATTTGGATAGCTTCAGAAAGGGGCGAGTAGGCATGGATAGAAATTTGAAAACCTTAGAATTGTTTCCTGCTGCCACTATAGTATCTTTAAGGTATCAACTTCTTTGGCGACGGCAGAAGAAACCCTATCATCAATCTGTTGTTGGAGGGCAGAAACACTTCTTGCTATTCGTTGCTTCACAGCAGAAACCTTTCTTCTATTCAATCTTTTACGGCCCACCAGCGGCCGAGCGGTAAAGTCCCTGAACACTGGTAGTTCGGTCCGAGGTTCGAATCCCGCGAACGGGCTGGCTGCATGGGTGTTTTCGTGGTTTTCCCCGTGTGTAACGTGTATACGAGCCAGTTTCCCTTAGAAGTCCTCCACGAAGGCATCCCTCCCTTTAGGCAGATAGCCCTAGTGTGCTTTGCCATAATTAAATACACACCATCAATCCTTTACAGAAGAAACCCCTATAATCAATTTATTGTTCTACGGCCGAAACTCCCTCTTCTAATTTGTTCTTTGGCAGAAGAAACTTTTACTTCAATTTACCCAACTTTGTTCTTAACTGCGTCTATGCTGCCTTCCATAGCCTCAAATTTATTTTCTGTTATGCTGGTAATTCCTCTTTTCATTTATTCTTGTCCTAATTCAATCTTTTTTCCTCCAGCTGTCATCTCTCCTTTAACAGATTCTTGGCTCTCTTTCATCTCTACTTTTACTGAGTTGACTGCTCCTTCCATCTTTTCTTTGAATGCAGCAAATGCAGTCATCAACTGCCTCATTTGTTCTTCAATCGCTTTGTGATTGGCATTCAAAAATCCCACTTCTGACATCAAAAAGTGTTGCGTGCGTACGGGTTCGTAATGGATTGAATGCACAAGTGGATAAAAAATTAATAAAATTTATTCCTATCCCAAGAAATGAAACAAAATGCTGAAATTTCCTCAAAGATATTCGTACAATATCTCAGTATCTCACAGTAATTATATTTTAAACTACTAAAAGGTTTAATAGAACTTAATTCAAAACACAGAGAAAGCTATTCCGATCTCACCATGAATTCGCTACAATCAGTAACAGCACTAAGTAAACAACTGAACTGAGGTGTTTTAATCCGGCTTTATAAGCTTTTTAATCATTCGAGAACATTCTGGAATTTCTCAACTTTTCTGGCTATCAAAAGAGTACAATTACGAGATATCAATTTATTAAAATGTTAAATGCGCGTGCTCCTCCTGTATTTTAATTTTTCCGGCGTAGCAATCTCTTCAAATAAGTCTCGTCACGGGAATATAAAACAATTTTTAATTACAAATTCTTCTAAAAATAGCTAAATAAATACAAAAACTACAACAATACCAAGAAATAATAATTTTCTTAAAGATAATTGTTTTATCTTTTTGTGAATGGCAAATAACCTTTGTGTTTACATTTATCAACTCGATCACGGAATAGGAAAATGCAAGATATTCGCTGGTAGTGTTATCTAAAGCAAGCTATTGTGTGGGAATAAAATGTCATTGGATGGGCTATCATTCAGAAATCTTAACCCATTTAAATGCATCGAAATATTTTACCGCGAATTATATCTTTCAAGTTAAATATATGTTCGCTTTGCCATCACGAAATCGGATAGTAGTGAATAATAATAAGTAAAAATATTTGTTAGAAGTTATATCTGCTTTTCTAATAAATGCAGTTTCTTATCAAATTCAAATGATCTTTGATGTGATTTATTCCGAAAGAGATAACGCTTAGGATCCGAGAATTGAATTTTCATAATCAAATTTATATATGAAACTGGTTTTTACTGAATTTTCTATACAACAGCATTGAAAAGGTACCGAATTTTCTTGCTAACAGCCTTGAAAAGTTTTATAAAAAGAGTATTAAAAATTGTCTAGTAATAGGTATGTAGATATGATGTTATTCCGTAAGATAAGACATTATTTAAGTATTTTAAAGATTTTGCACATTTTAGCTAATAAGTCCGAAGTTTTAATAGTTTATAATTTACTCGTTTTATTTGAGTATGCACCAACTATGGAGATTGAGATTGAGATTATTTTTGCAGGGGCTGATTAATTTGTCTGTAGAATGTGAATACTGAGTAATAATATGAAAATTTTCCATAGTCAAAGCATTTAATTTTTAGGTACTTTTTGTTATCGGGACTGAACTCAGATATGTGTACGTGTATAATTTATTTACTAAAGAAATATTGATTATATTATCTCCTAATATAAATTTATTAGAATGTATCAGAATGAGGGAAGTAGGAAGTTTAAGGAGGCTGCTAACCTTCAGTACAGTAAAGATTTTGTAAAAAAACTTTTAAACTTAAAACTAAGCAGAGATAATATATTGGTGTAATGCCATTAAAAATATATATATTGCTAATAGCTGCTATTTAGCATATCAAGTATTGAATGAACTAAAATTCATTGAAATTGAAAACAAGTTTTTCGGTTAATCTTCGGATTATGGTAACTTGGCGAAATTTTGGCGACCAACCCTGCTAGTTTTTTTTTGGACGACATTTTGTTTTCACGAAGTAAAGGAATTTTTTTTTTTTTTTACTCAACATTTTTTTCCAACCATCTGCTAGCCGAATTACGCTTATGCTAGAACTTTTATGGAACAAAAGTGCTTAATCATGACGAATTTTAGGTGCGAAATTGGGAGAAAATAAATTGGGAGAATCGCGCACTGCTTGCTGCGTTTTTAAGAAATGCACATACACGGTATCATCCATGTACACGTCGACCTATTTTTCACTTAAAAAACATCCCAGAATTGCACAAAAATGGCATTGCGCACACTCTTGACTTTACCCATGTACACTGCTAAAATCCTAGCTAGTAACCTTTATCGCCTTATCAAAATGTTGCCAAACTACCTCTTACCATATTCCAAAGATTAGCCAGTTTTTCTAATACTTGTGCAATAGCTGCAAAGTAATATAATAATAATTTATTTACTAAAGAAATATTGATTATATTATCTCCTAACATAAATTTAGTAGAATGTATCAAAATGAGGGAACCCAAAAGTAGGAAGTTTAAGAAGGCTGCTAACCTTCAGTACAGTAAAGTTTTTGTAGAAAAACTTTTAAAATAAGAAGCGGAGATAATATATTGGTGTAATACATTAAATTAAGGGATAGTGGTGTGGTAGTGGCAGTTTAACAAATAAGTAGCCAATTCACTTCAAATTATTATTATAAAAAAATTTTTGTTTTGTTAGTCATTAATATGTTGATAAATAAGGTAAACTGAATAGACATATTCTGGAAATAGTTGATCCAAATTGTGTTAGGCTCTCATGCTACTGGTATATGAGATTTATATATATGGTTACTCGAAAAGTTTGCAGATTTTGTGTGATAAATACAAATGAGGTAGCACAAAAACATAAGAAAATTTCATGTAATAAAATAAACACCATTTACAACTTTTTCTATCTCTATGGCAGCTGGAAAATTCTTTTTGTCATTCAGTTTTACAATCTTCATATCAGTGAACTCCAGGTCATTTATAGAACTGTAAAATGACTGTAACTGATGACAATCCAAGGGGGCAAGGTCTGGAGAATATGGAGTATAATGTAAAACATCCCAGCCATGCTCAGTATGAATTTGGCATTCATCAAAATGTGGGGCTGGGCATTGTCATGATGGAAGGCAACGCTATGTTGATTCGTCATTTCTGGGCATTTCATTTCAGGATTTCTTTGCTTTAATTTCTGCTTTTAACACTATTTTTCTAAATTCATTTTCTAATTTTGTGACAAGAATTTCTTTGTAGTCTCACCAGAGCTTTTCTTTTTGGGGATGTTCTTCCCACTAAATATTACTAAAGAAAGTTCATTTTGGTTTACTCGACTTTTTTTTTTTTTTTTTTTTTTTTTGTAATATTATTGTACAGTAGCCACGTCTCATTTCAAGTAGGGCACATCAGTGGCTGAGCGGTAAAGCAGCTGAGCACTGGTAGCTTGGTCCGAGGTTCGAATCCTACAAATGGGCTGGTGTTTTCATGGTTCTCCCCATGTGTAATGTGTATGCGTGCGAGTTTCCCTTAGAAAGACCTCCATGAAGGCATCCCTCACCTTGAGTCTTTGTTGTAAACACAAAAACCAAACCAAAACCATTTTCAATAATGAGCCATTTCAAAAAAGGGTAAAAATTTACTCTACGGTACCCCTTGGTGAATCATCGTTTCTTTTTTGACGCCAAGATTGGTGCCAGGAAGGATCGGCACCAATTTCAAGGTTGTGTGGATACTTCTACACAAAAACAAAATAAGAAGACTTACACAAACTGTGTCCATGTGCACATCAATCTATTTTAACTTTTAAAAAAAATCCGAGAATTGTACAAACTAGGCATTGCACACTGCCTTAACTTTGTCCATGTAGACATCAATCTGTTTTCACTTAAAAAAATAAGGAAGCTAAAACAAAGTTAAAACTGTCCATGTTAACCAGAAAACATTCACTGCTGTCTTAACACACAGAGATGAACTAATAACCAAAAATACACAAAGAAAGATGAATAAATAACCAAAAATACATATTTCCTAACATAAAAACGTTAAGGAACAAATCTTTCAACAAAAATTAACACACAGAGATAAATAAATAAATGAAATGTCAATTTTTTAACATACTTTTTTCATGTGCGTACCTTTATTCTTCCCACCACCATCTTCTCCATCCTCCACATAAGCAGTTCAGTTAAATTTTTCATCGTTTCGGCTCATTCATATCTATCAGCAATTAAACCATCATTATGCAAAAATCATTCAACCCATACAAAAACCTCAAATTCACAATTTCATTATAATCCAGTGTATCAGCATTCATCCTCTTAGTCACCTCAGACATACTCAAATGATAGTACTCACAGCAATATAATAGCAAGTTCAAAATACAAGACCACACCACACACGTGCAACCAAATACAGTAATTGAATGGTAAGAACCATAAAGCCGGATCCATACGAAAGGGTTACTACTTAAAAAAAAATAGCCAAAATCTAAAATTATCACAACACGTTTGGCGATATTTGCAGAAATAACCCCTTTTAATGACAAAAACTTTAAAAATAATTTCCCCAAGGCTAGTTTCACCAACATTATCAACATTACGGTTACCGAAAAACCTATTTCACGCAAAAGACTTCCAGATTTCATGAACAACTAACACAGTCAAAGTCTTTAATCCGGACTCGTCGGGACTTCGGCGATTCCGGATTATCGGTTTTTCCGGATTATAGATCATCAGTTTAAATCTGGTAAGATGGCATGCAGGAATTATACAATTAAAAATATGAAACCGTAATTTATGAAATAAAGAGCAATTATGATCTGAAGGGTATCAAAATTTACAAAAAAAAAAAAAGCTTAATATTTATTTGTTTACTTTAGTAAACATTTCTTTCAACGTGCGCATGTGTAAAGCATACATTACGCATAGTCGAAATTAGAAAATTGCAACCAGTAAACTATTTGATGTGTATTCATGATATTTATAATGACAAGGAATTTGATTTAAATCATATCAAAGGAGTACATCGTGATGAAATACTACATTTAGTAAGGAATTATAAGCCGAATAAAATAAAAACATCTGCCCTGAAGATAAGGATAGTGCTGACAGATCAACTTCCAGTTCATTGCGCATTGCGACATTCCCCCCCCTTTCCCCCGCAGAGCTGCGTAAAATTGATAAACAGATTTTGGAACTGTTAGAGAAACAAAGGATATGCCTTTATCCATTTTGCAGCAATTCCACTTTTTGTTAGATGGACAACGAAACATGCTTTCGCTTTATAGATCCTTTGGCAGCTCCGGAATCGGAAATTCTTTTTGACATAATCGAAAGTTCAAGCTTTCTTTTATAAAATTGCTCTTAACAGTCTGCAAAAAATAATAAATCGGATCCAATTAGAAGATTAAAGAACAACGCAATCTGCAACATTAACTGAAATGGATAATTAGATAATTTTAGCTTAGCTTATACCGTCCGTTATACATCAAACTCGCATGCGTCAATGCATTATGCGTTCATGCATGCGCAGAAAGTTTGTAGCTGTGAGGTCTGCGTTATAGATCATTCCGGATTAAAGACTTTTGACAGTACCACTTGGCGATTTTTTTCAGACATAAACTGATGGGTACCGTACAGTAAAGATTAGCCCCAAAAAGTAGCTTCTATGTTACTTTTCAGCAAAGAATTATATGCTGAAACTCAAGCAAACGTATTCTGCTCTGTTAAAGTAAAGGATACATGTACATCTTAGGTGCTTATGTAGCTAGTCTTCTTCAAATGATCATGTATTGTACTTTTTGGAATGTATAGTTGGCCTGATAGTTCCTGAACTATATAATGTGGGTTTTCAGCAACAGCTTTTTTTAATGGATGTGTATTTGCCAAGGATGGTCGTTCAAAGCAAGCATCATCTTTCAGGCTGAGATTGCGAAGTGTAAACTTTTCAAACTAAATCATCAGAAACAGCTCTTTGTTCATATATGGCACAAATTTTATAACCAGGCTGCCTAACATTTTTTTTTCCCCTTTTTTAAAATAAAAGAGCATAAAATGATGAAAAGGAATTTTGGGGTTGTCCATTCTTAACCCTATGCCAAAACCATGCTAGAATTATTACTTTTATTACGGTTTCTTCTTATTATCAGTAACAAAATAATTAAAGGAAAATGCATTTCGATTTGAAAGAGCGTAGAACTTTCTGGACAGCTCAGTACTTATGATTTATTAGGCAGAGAGCAAAAGATACTTACCGCTCGGCCGCTGTTGGGCGGGAAAGTTCTTGAAAGGGT